GAGTTAATTTGCATCGACGGAATCGTCTAGATAACTTACTCGCAAAAGGACGGCTGCTTTGTAACTCGGGAACAATAAATCTCGTTCTTACCTGAAAACAAAAGGCGAAGGTTAAATTGATATAATATCGAAAAGATTAATTAATGGCTTGTTTCTTTCATGTCAATTTCATTAAATTGAAACAAGGAAAAGAGGATTATTTTAAAAGATTTATGATAACAGTCATATTTAAACCTATGAGAAGTTAGATTCATATTAAATAGGATTTTACATGACGAACAATATCTCATTCGATCGAAGACTCCTGGACATTGGCAAATAGTCTCACATGCGTTTTGCATTCTTTGCTGGAGATCCTCCAAGTTATTGACATGTGCTGAATACACCAATGATTTTAAGTAACCCCATGCAAAAGGTCTAGAGGATTAAAATCAGGTGATCTAGGTGGCCAAACTATTGAACCTCCTCTTCCTATCCATCTACCATAAAATTCAATATTAAGAAAATTACGAACAATGATCGCAAAATGTGTAGGCGCGCCATCATGCATGAACCATATTTGTAACCTATCTTGGAGAGGTACATCTTCGAATAATATAGGCACAGTGTTTCGCAGAAAGTCCAAATAAGTTTCACCAGTTAAGCGATCAGGAAGAATCGTTGGTCCTATCAATCGGTCATCAACATTTACAGAAAACTTTTACTGGCTTTTTGATTGCACAACAGCCTGAGGATTTTCATCCGCTCAAACGTAATTGTTATGAAAATTCAAAATTCCGTCTTTGGCAAAAGCAGCTTCGTCAGTGAATAGAACACTAGCATGAAATATCGGATTTTGTGCAAGCTTCTGCAACATCACTCACAAAATGCTCTTCTCGAAATGTAAAAGAATCGCGCACCTTTTCGAAGACTCCTAGACATTGACAAATAGTCTCACATGCGTTTTGCATTCCTTGCTGGAGATCCTCCAAGTTATTGACAGGTGCTGAATACACCAATGATTTTAAGTAACCCCTTGCAAAAGGTCTAGAGGATTAAAATCAGGTGATCTAGGTGGCCAAACTATTGAACCTCCTCTTCCTATCCATTTACCATAATATTCAAAATTAAGAAAATTACGAACAATGATCGCAAAATGTGTAGGCGCGCCATCATGCATGAACCATATTTGCAACGTATCTTGGAGAGATACATCTTCGAATAATATAGGCAAAGTATTGTTCAGACAGTATAAATAAGTTTCACCAGTTAAGAGATTAGGAAGAATCGTTGGTCCTATCAATCGATTACCAAGTATGCCAAGCCAAACATTTACAGAAAACTTATACTGGCTTCTTGATTGCATAACAGCCTGAGGATTTTCATCCGCCCAAACGTGATTGTTTTCAAATTCAAATAAATTTAATGAAAAATCGGAATTTGTGCAAGTTGCAGAAGCTTGCACAAATTCATCACTTCATAAAATTCTCTTCACAAAACGTAGTCAGGAGCGACAAGTTCTTGCACTCGTTGAACGTGGTAAGGATACAATTGCTGCTGACGTAAAATTCTCCAAACTAGAGAGGCATTAATGTTTACTGCAGCAGAGATCCTTCTTACACTCGTACCTGGAGTTTCTTCAATCCTTCTCAAAACATCCTCTTCTATTGCAGGAGTACTCACAGATCGATGTCGATCAGCATTGTGGTGAGTTGTTTTAAAAGAACCTACATTCGAGAAACGTTGATGCAATTTTGTGAAAAATGTTTGACTAGGTAAGTACAGTTGGGGTAAGTTTCCGAGTAACGGCAACGTGTCTCAGAAGCGTTACCATCAACAACACCGTACATAAAGTACATCTCTGCCATTTCTGTATTTGTGTATTCATTCATGCTTTACATGAAATAAAAGCACCCAACTACACCAGTGAAAGTGACGTGAGATTGACAATAACTAAAGACGAAATGTTATTAGTTTTGCATGGGTAACACAACTAAACGACTAGATGTGAACTTTAGTGAAAAGCAACGTAAAATCAACTATATCTCTGAAACAATTGATTTTAAGTAGATGAAATCGTGGTTTTACATAGTGTTGTTGGTAGAGGACGGATTTCGGAACGTTTTAGAAAAAAAGTTTTAGTATAAAAGTTGTAGCAAATTTAATTCCTAACAATTTTGCTCTTTTACACTTTTGCCCTCAGATGCATCAATATCATTCAGAAAAATTCGTAAAGGGAAAATTTTATGAAATCGTGGTTTAAAATCTTGTTGTTGGTAGAGCACGGGATTCAGAACGTTTAAAAAAAAAGTTTTATGATAAAAGTTGTAGCAAATTTCATTCTTAACAATATCGCTCTTTTACACTTTTACCCTCAGATGTCTAAATATAAAGAAAGATTCGAAAAAGTAAAAAATTGATGAAATCGTTATTTTATATATTGTTGGTACAGGACGGATTCTTTTGCAAGATCTGGACCTTGTTCTTTTAACTTATCAAAAATCTGCCTGGCTTGATTACATGTGGGATTCTGGTCTACTGGAAAATTTTTGACATTCACTTGGTTTTCACACCATACTTTAAGCAAGGTTTCCATTTCAGCTATCATACCATGTCGTTTACGAATTAAATTTGAATTTAATGACTGAGCATTTTTAACAGCGTCAAGAATTTTAGTTTTATCTTTTATCTTTTAATTTGTGTGCCAATTCACATGTTTTCATGCTTTCTTAAAAATCCTTCACAATACTGTGTTTTAGCTCAAGTGTTGAAGTTTTACGTTTTCTTGGAAAATTTGAAGAATCAAATATTTTTCTTTTTGTTGACATAATAACTAATATGTAAAGAAATAAATAAAGCTTTTAACTAATATCACGAAATATCACGAAAGTTATCCATATTCACCAAAATAGTTAATTGAATTAACTTTTAACTAATGTTTTCGTATATACAGGGTGTTTCAGGTTTTTGTAGCAGGACTTTAACATTCATATAAACATAGCTTTGTTTTGAAGATACAGGGTGTTTAAGTTAATTTTTTTAATTGATTTTTATTTATTTTTCTTGTTTATTAACGTGCTAAATTCATTACTCTTTTTCCTAATAGTGTTAAATTGTTTTTTTTTAATTTTTTGTTTGCTGCATAAAAACTTTATAAAATGCCGTTTATTTTTCCTAACCAAGAGTTAGTGGATATTCATTTTGTATATGGATTTACAAACGGAAATTCAGCAGAAGTAGCCTTAGAGTATAGGAGAAGATATCCAAATAGAAGACATCCGCATCCTTCTGTGTTTGGGAGAGTGCTAAATAATGATGGGTAGATCGTAGTAATGACAATATTAGACTGCAAAGAAACTTTAGAAGAAGAATTTTGCGTGAGATCGACCTTACGAATTTCTAGGACGCGTGTTTATCGCCTTTTAAAACATGATCATAGACATGCTTATCAGTTACAACCATTGCAAGGATTGCAATCAGGCGATGAAGAACGGCTTGTAACGTTTTCTCGGTGGATTGCTAAAGCAATGGAGATTTTTTAAATAATGTAATGTGGAACGATGAATCGTGTTTCACAGGACGTGGGATTTTAGTATTCCTATGCAATTCGGCCACGAAACTTCCAACATGAATTTAGTGTCAACGTCTGGGTAGGTGTTTATAATAATCATCCTTTTGGGCCATACTTTTTGCCACCACAATTAATCGCTGCGGCGTTCTTGTAATTTTTAGTAGCTGAATATGCCAATATGTGGGATGACATTGATTTAGCTTTAAGAAGAAAGGTCTGGTTTCAACTTGATGATTGTGCAGCTTATCACAGTAGGGTGGTAAGAATTCGCTCGACAACCATTTTCCTACAAGATGGATTGGTCGTGGTGGACCAATCGCATAGCCCCACGATCTGTAGATCTTAATGCTTTAGACTATTTTGTGTGGAAATATTTGAAAGGAAAATTGTATGAGACACCTGTTCCCACAAGGGATGAACTTTTAATAGGATTAGGAATGCTTCTAATGATATATGGCCGTTCTTAAATACTATTACTCGATCAGTAATTCGTCGGTCAGAATTATGCAAGCCAAATTTTTCAACAATTTCTTTAACTTTTTTCTTTTGCTATTCAGATCAAAAAAAAATTAATAAACCAAAACATTAGTTAATTTACCTGCTTTGAAACCTACCTTTAAAAACATTGGTCTGTATCGAATAATAAAAAGCGGATTATCTTGAAAACGATAAACTTTAGAGTATTTTGATAAGAGTACACTTTTTGCTTAAAACGTACAGAGAATAAGAGTTTCTATTCAAAAAGCCAACAAGTATACTTTCAGAAAAGTTATTGTTATTTCAATCCGTAAAAAATACGTTACAGAGCGGCTATAGTAAAATGGACTCCATAATCGTCTTGCTCATGCCAAAAAACCTCCGTATACCAAATTTAAATAACTGCTACAAAAACCTGAAATACGTGTGTAACATAAATACTTACGTTGTTCTAAAACACTATTAAAGATATTCTTATAAACTGACTAATCAACGTAAGTTGAGGTATTACTGTAATTAGATAAGTTTGCAATACATAGTCAACACTAATTAATGACTTTGGACACATTTTGAGCTTTTAAACAATTTTAAACTCATTTAGAATATTTTTGATATTTTTTAGACATCTTTTGCACTTTTTCTGCAAAATTTTTTTAAACTGTTTTAAACTATTCGCTGCTTTTGAATTAGCACGGCATTACATGATTCACGGTTCTATTGAGTAATGAAAGAAACAGTAACAGCGAATCTATTAATATGAATCGACATGTGAGCCATTCGTTGTACGTCTCGGAGTCGACAATACAGTAACTTTAGAAAGAACATATAATAATAATAATAATATATTATTATCTACGACTGCTTGGATAAGTCATCATTACCGCACTCATTTGAGGTGATTTGAGTTACGTAATGAAGTTCATAACCGCACTGGTTTGATTACGTAACGAAAACTGTCTCTGTTATCATGAACATGCAGCAATGCCGTAAGTATATTCTTATATTTAAAGTAGTTCTTACAACTTTCGTCTGTTCGCAGCCCACACAGCACCCGAAACGCCCTCTTTTGTAGTCAGAAGATCCTCAGGAAATCAGATGCCCTTCCCCAGAAAGGAACACCATACGACGCAACCGAGTGAAAAGATGCAAAGTATGACAACCTGGCTGCCTGGTGAGTCTTGTTTTAGTCTTCGTATTGTAAAGATAGCAGAAGCCAGCCTAGTCCTCAGATGTTTCAAATGCACTTCCCACGTCATTCCGTTGTCTAGATGCATACCCAGAAATTTTACAGTTGCAGATTCTCTCCAACGTCGAGTGGTCTCCAACGCTATATGTTCTGTTTATTCACTGTTTAGTTTAAGCAGATTATTACTGAACCATTCTTGAGTGGACAATATAGCTTCTTGTGATTTAGCCATCAAGTTATCCTTTGTAGTGTCCTTTAATACGATGGATGTATCATCAGCATATAAATATGTCTCTTCAATAATGTTGCAAGGCAGATCATTAACCCAGATATGCCTAATGTACTACATTTAGGACGGTCAATTCCTGTTGAAACTTGCAAGGTCATGAGCGCCTGGAAATGCGCACGTCACATAAAGTCGTGCATTTTAGATGTAGCAGTGAGAATGATAACTTGCAGTTTAGGTGTTTTCTTTAGATTTTGTTTTAAGTGCATCCGAAAGTCAGGATAAGGTAATTTGAAAGGTAAGGTAATTTTCAATTATAGAAATTAGAATAACATTATGATTCTTTGATTACAGTAACAATAAATAGTTGTATAATTAGTATTATTTAAAAGTTTTTCATTATTCAGTAAGGATAAAAGACGATTTGAAATTATCGCCCACCGACTTTGATAGTCCTACGAATTCGGCGATCACAGAAAACCCCTTAGAGCTTTTCTTAAAATTTTTTGACGAAGAAGTAATAGAATTGATTTTGAATCAGAGTAATAAGTATGCACAACAAAAAAATAGAAAAGCGAATATAGAAAAGCAGGAAGTAAACGCTTTTATAGGCGTTTTGATACTTAGTGGATATATGCAAGTACCGAGACGGAGGATGTTCTGGGAACGTGAAAAAGATTGCCATAACGTCATGATTACAGAAGCAATTACAAGGGACCGGTTTGAGTATTTGTTTTCTAATCTTCACGTCTGTGATAATCAGCAGTTGGACCAGGGTGACAAATTCGCTAAACTAAGGCCGCTTTTCACACTGTTGAATAAAAAATTCATGGAGAATTCCTCGCTTGAAGAAATGCACTCAGTTGATGAAGCTATGGTTCCGTATTATGGACGTCATAGCTGTAAGCAGTATATTCGAGGAAAACCCATGCGCTATGGATATAAGTTATGGGTAGGAAGTACCAGGTTAGGTTACTTGAATTGGTTCGAACCTTATCAAGGAGCCTCTACAAATATAAGTGAAAACTTTTCTGAATTGGGAGTTGGTGCTGGAGTAGTCTTAGAATATGCGCAAGCTTTACGTAAGGAATGGCCAGATAAAAAATTTCATCTCTTTTTTGATAACTTTTTTACGTCAATTCCGTTGATCGAAAAACTAACTGACTGGAATTTTTATGCTACTGGTACGGTTAGAGAAAACAGGCTAAAAGACATTTCTCTTATAGATTCAAAA